CGGGTACTAGGTAAGGATGGAAAATCGATTGATTAAGTGGTGAAACTTCATCAGTTGAGATGGCTGGGACACGTGTTACGTATAACCGACGACCGACTGCCTCGACGTGCTATGTTCAGTGGTATAGGAGTAGGTCGGAAGAAAGCTAGGGGCAGCCAGACCAAAACATGGCACAAGTTCATGAAGTCACTGACAAGTGGACTGAGTCATGTTGGTAGGTGTAGACTACCTGGTTGGGGACCGCGAGATGATAGCAACCGACATGGCTCAAAGTCGTTTGCAATGGCGCAGGTGCATTCACTCTTTGTGTTCTCTTAAATTCTAATCTCCTGATTCCTCCTTGTCTCTTTTTTCTCTTCCCAAATTTATTTCACTGGATTATACTCTTTAAATAAAATCTCCAAACCCTAATAATTCCGATTACTACTTACACTCTTACTACCACTACGAGATTTGAATCGACAACTGCATCTCTGTGCTAATGTAGTATGGCAACTCGGACTGATGTATGTACGTACGAAGTTCTACGTTGTTACTGACTGACTGAGTCTAAATTTATATGTGCGCTATTATGAGTAAATTTTCTCGATATTTGATTTAGATCATGAACCGACTGATGTTAGACCACCGTTGGAAACCTGGAAGCACTGAACGGCCGTTTCGTCCTATTTCGGGACTCCTCAGCGTTGCGCATCCACGATCCCGCTCGCGGGATTCGAACCCAGGACCTTAAGTCTCGCGCGCGAACGCTTAACCTCCTGAACCACTGAGGCGGCACCTAATGGTGTTAGTGTCGATATTATCAACTAACCACGACAATTTGGAAGCAGTACGAACAGTGAAATCCACAACACGCGTTTCGTCTTACCTGAGATGCATTTGCTAATAGAGATTGATTAACTGAATTTATTAACACCAACAATGGTAAAACACAAACCCTTATAAGTAAAATAAATTTCATAACTGTTACACAACACAGAAACCGTCAAGACTCAGTAGCTCGGTGAATATGTTAGTGTTTGAAGCAAGAATTACTGGGTTCGATTCTTAATATGAATGTAAACATTAAGATCCAGGTACATTAATCTAACTCTTGGATGGGACGAAACGTACATCATGGATTCCACTGCTAGACACAAACCAACTTCATTAAAATACTTGTGACAAAAAAGTTATTGACCACTCAAAGTGCTTCCTACCTAATTACCAGATTGTACAAACTATTATTTTTGTCAAAAAACAATCAACACCAGAGTACCGTAAGCATATTAGCATAAGTGTTACTTTATGAAGTTATTACAAATCTAAGAGTTCAGCAACAATTTGACAGTTTAGACATGCATTTCCCACTCAGTTTTTTTGAGTTCAACATGTTATACTTTGAATAACACAATTTCATTTCGCAGTGAAAATATGGAGTATGCTATATTGTGGAATAAAAGTCAGTCAGTCAGTAACGAACAATGTAGGACCTTAGCACATACATACGCATTAGTTTAAGTTGCTATACTACATCATCCCTTTAAGATCGCATAGCATATCAGCTGTAGTGAACTGTTTGTTAAGAGAATTCAATCTAGATAAATATTGACAATGGTTTATCAGTGTTGAATATCTTTAATTTCCTCATCAAACATACTACTTTTAAACTAAACAGCAGTGACAGAAAACTGTAAATCAATTTGAATTAAATATGTTATTTTTTTATGGCATCATCATACATATTATCATCTCAATGATTATTTGCGTGTGATTTGAAAACTTGGCACTGAAGCGACATAATTATATATATAATTATGTATCTAGTCATAGGATTAATTGTTCAGGAAACAAAACTAGTCCGTTATAATCCTATTTACTAAACCTTGAAGAATTTTAGTGATCGATAAATATTATGCAAATCGTAGTAATAATAACAATAATAATAGTAGTGGTAGTAGTACTGGCTGGAAATAAGTGACATTTAATTGATTTCACTAGCTGAGTAATAATAAGAATAAAGATTGTTTATCGAGAACGTTACAATTAGCAAGAGAAAAACAAGGTCTTAACAAAAACTATGGAACTGTGTACTATGGGTTTAGACATTTCAGAAATAAAAAGGATACAAAGAAACATAGTTAACAAGTATTGACCATTGGAATGAATTAATTGCTCATTTTTCATTCATTTATACCTTATTTTAAATTGTTCTGATGACATATGTTATACAGATTGAAGTGGGAAAATTACAGCGAGGATAGACATGTTACACTGAAACTTGAAAGAGAAATTTGATTTGATTTTTTTTCTAAAATCATTTTTTATCAGTAGAACGACTATCATTATAATACTTCATAAGGATAAACCGATTTCAACCAAATAGACTGATTAGCGATTCTTTTTTATTGATTAACTCATTTACCAGGTAGAGATTCATAAACTTGACTTCAAGCACCACACACATTCTGAGTTTGAGTGAGAGCTACCACTACCCGCGGTTGCCGAAAGTCGAAATAGGCAAAGCGGAGTTCTAACCTGTAACTCAGTGGTTGAAAGTTGAACATCTTGGCTAATGAGCCAATACTTCAAACAACCAGTGGTTGTAGAAGAGCTAGGCAAGGTAAAAATAACGGCGTTAGCGACAAGCTAAATCCAGAAAATACCATATATTTCAATCACTAAATAATCACAAAATTTAATAACACTATCCAACATCCGAAAGGAGTTAACAGTATTCATCTCCTGACTCTAAATAATAATCATTATTGGAACCGTTCCCACTGTCGTATTTCAGAAGTTTATTTTTTTCTCTGTCAGATATTAGTTATTAGACCTATCCGAGAAAGCTTAAATATAATCATTCTAGTGTAAGACTAACTTATCAAATTTACAGTATAACACTGACTTAATGAATATTAAAAGTAAATTAAATAACATTTATATGTTAACTCTTTCAAATGTTTTTTTTCGGTTTGAATACACTACTGATGAAGTTGATAAAATATCTGAACAGTTTACAGATCAATTTACGTATTAAATAGATAATCAAAATAATACTGTATATTTTAAAGAATTTTTTATTTTAGTCCAAAAGCAGAAATTAAAACGAATAATTACAGTAAACTGACTGAATCAATGCAATTCTTAGATTTCATATTTTTATATTTAATTAGTGTAAAAACATCTGTTATCCCTACTTTGTTTTTGAAGCAATGGAATAAATGGTTAGTTCGTTTGTCAGGTTCAAAATTCGCTGTCTACTGCCTTGCCAGCAGTAGAATAGTAAAGTATCACTATTTTTCCACAATTAAAATGTCGTTTCATAGAAAACTACACAAGTGTACATTTTGCAAATGAGTTACTTATAAGTTGTTCTAAGATAGAAAAGAAATATACACTGATGACAAGCTAAAAAGAACAACAAACAGTCCGGCAAATTTCATTTGTGGGACCCATAACAAGTGCAAACTCCCAACTGTATATTTGTGATTGACAATAGTGAACACCAGTAAGAGCGAGTATTAATAAAGATGATCATCAAATAATTTGCATTCACTGATTGGCATGGGTCAATTAGTTAAAATAAGTAGGATGCGAATGTCATATTGAATACAGTGGAAGATGCTCGTGCAGTATTGTGGATTGTTTGAAGTTAGACATTAACACCATCGGATCCCGACTCAGTAGTCTAGGGGTTAAGTGTTCGTGCACGAATGAAGGTCCTGGGTTCGGATCCCACGTGCGGCTATGGTTGTCTAGCATTGATCGCTTCATGGTCTAAATGTATTCACTTTGCACAGAAATAACAGTTGGCAAAACATCGGGCAAAACTAAAGAAAACACTACTACTTGGCTTGTGGTCAGATCTTTTGAAAAATCTAAACTTTAACACTTCCGATGAAACCATTAAATCCCTAAAGAAAACCTTCACTTGAATACAAAGAATAATAATGATAATACTAATAAAATGATCCCAGTTATTCATAGTATTCAAACACATATATAGACACAAAAGAAACATATTATAAGGTATTTGTAGGGATCGATAGATTTTATAGTTTACATCAAACAGTGATCTTAGTTAGACCGAACCCGGAAAGCATTGGACAGCTACTTTGAATTAGTAAACGATTCCTGATCATTGTGTGTTTATAACTCTATCCAGGGTTGAACGCAAAGCCTTAAGGTTTTACTGTAAGCGCTTCACTTTTAGACTATTTGTTCGACATCATAATGATTTGCATTTCAAACTTCAATCAATTTACGACATTTTAGAATCGTATTCTGGTATCATTAGTAAGTAACTGCCTCATATCCGACATGGGTGATACACACAAAAGGAATGTAATAAGAAGCAGTTTTTATGATTACTACCAACACTAATACTACTACTAATAATAGCAGTACTCTTAGGATATGAAAACATATATGAGGAAAAAAGGCTATATTCTGCAAAACAATTCGATTACATTTTATTTTTATTTACTTAACAGCATAGTACACTTAAAATCTTAGACCATACCAGTGTACAGAATTGATAAGTGAGAAACCGTGACTAGTGGAGTTCAGTAATGTCAAACGTGAGGCACGTAACCACCAATCGGATTAAAAGATGGTTGTGGAATATTTTAAATGGATAGAAGTTAGAAAGGCAAAATATTGGATGCCAGCTTAATGGTCCAAGAGTTATGCACTTGTCGCGAGACATGAAGGTCCTGGATTTGATTACCGGTGAGGTGGTGGATGTGTATTGTTGGAGAGTCTCATAAAAGGGTGAAACAGATACCAAGACCTTAGTGGACAACTGGGTAGTAGTATAAAGAGTCCTTAACATCCAGAGTGTAATTTAAAGCTAAGTACACGAATCTCGACCTGGTGAATAAGCTAAGCAAATTAAATACATAGTGAAAGAGTCGGTTGATACTAGGCAATAAACATTCTCTCAATAAAATGTATGTAAAAGAATAAGGCATATACATATATACAACTAATTTCAAAGAACTTTATTTCGAACTTACCTATGCTTTTTTTTCCTAACATCAGGCGAATCTGATTTTTCATTCCATGCTAATTCAAAGATTTGTGAGAAATGATCATGAAATGGTCCCATCTTTTTTAAGTTATTAATTCAAAAGAAAAAAACAGTACAAAAAGAGATGAGCTATAACGGAAAGCTTCTTAAAAAAACAAGAAACAAAGTCCATGTAAGGATGAATTATACAATGATGCATTCAGTTAAAATACTTGAATAAATGAGATTTAATAAACTAGTACAAATTAGTATAACACTTGGGAAGGGATAGTTCATCACTTGGGACACTCGGGCCTTCAACGGTTAAGTTGCAGATTCAGTATCACTAGCCCCCACAGTGCGGCTAAAAACTGAGTACACAAAGCTACTATTTGGTAAATAAGTTACTTCAATAAGTCCTCACAATTGGCTTTGAACCACATGAGTTTCAGTGTTGGAGCAAATGATATAACCCAGTACCCGAAATTGATGGAACGGAGGCTGAATCAGCAAACAAATGGTTGAATATTAAACGTTGTGAATTAAGCAACTAAATTGGTTAAAGTTAACCAATCTTGAAAAGGTACACAGTTAATCAGTATAAAAACATGTTTAAAGTGATAAAACGTTTAAGGATTATAGAGGAGAATACATCAAGAAGATTGTCTCTATCACATGGGTCACAGAAATCATATAGTAGTATCCGTACCAACATGCATTTTGTTACGTTAGTCAAAACAATACAGAAATTCCAAACTAGTTTTAAGACGGATAGACAACGGTATATGATTTTAACTGGTTCTATGGATGATTTTAATCGGAACAACAGGCTACTCACAAATTATACTAAATTCTCAACAAAACGACCTAAAGTATTAATTTCCATTGTGAAACAACACATATGTGAGCGAATGATGTTGTTTTCCATTTGATCGTCATGAGGTTTTACCATTTTACACATAAATATTTATATGGATATATAGAAACGTCGAACCGATCAAGGCAATTTATGAGGTTTGATCCCGTCTCTTATATATAGAAAAAGCTATGGAGATCCGAACTTATAACCCTAGTTTATGTGTTCAGAAGAAATTCGGGACGCCGCTGTTCCTTCCTTGGCTAGATATGACCTATATATATGATTATCTGTGCACATTAGTCAGTAGCGCAATACACTTTCTTGATTCACTATTGTGTTCTTACTCAAGTAGCTAGATAGATAGTTAACGTATTGCACGTTATATCTCAATATCAGATCTTGGACAACAATCATCCAATGCTTTTCTTTTTCACTTCAGAGTTTTAGTTGACATTATTTTCATATGATGGGAAAAACCATTTAAAATATTTGCACTTAGCTACCATTTAAACTGATTCAAAATGATTAAATGTTAACGATATAAAATGATACATTTGTTTTTGTTTTTTTACTATGATAATCTATTTTCTACTTAGTTTTTCGTCATAAACAAAGGAACAAACTTTGTTACATAAAATAATTTATCATCTCTATACCTTACGTATAATAACATTATAATAACAATAAACTATTAATGTAACTACTTGACATATGTATATATAGCTTCAACGAATTATTTTTGTTTTAAACGAAGATATCTATTTAACATATTCTTAGTATGAAATATCTAAACATGCTTAATTTGTATGATTTCTTCACTTTATTTAAATTATTTGATTATGTAGACAGAAAATATTGATATTAATCATAATAATTAAAAGTATGTATGGGCATCAGTTTAAGTTTTCATATCGGATTTAGCACAGAGAAATGAAATTACTTCGAAATAAATCCCAGAGTAGTGGAAGTATTAATAGTATCAGCAGTAGTAGGAAAGAACGTATAAGAATTCGGGATTCAGGATCTAAGGAAACACAAACAGTGAATGCATACGAACCATTGATAGTAATTTTGAGCCATGTTACATAAAGTATCTAATCATTGGTTGCGACGTCTAAAAAATGACATCAGTCCATGAAGAAATCGACAGTTAGGCTGGGCCATATATGTAGATGCGGACAACCTGATTGGAATCCACGTGATTAATATAACCACTGGTTAAAGATCTTGAATGACACGGCTCACAATCGTTTGGAATTGCGCATTCATTCTTTGTCTTCCCCTAAATTCTAAGCTTCTAAATTCCTCATAACTTTGTTCGTCTCACTGATTTTTGTATCCTTGATTCGTATATTCGATGCCTATTCCTTTATATTACCATTAACACCCTTACTACGTCTACTACCCTGGAATTCGTCCCGGCAATTTCATCTCGCGGTGATAATGGGGTATGGCAACTTGAACCGATATACACATGTGTCAGGTTCTAAGTTGTGTTTGACTGACCGACTATAGTAATTATAGTAATCACGCCAATCAGGTAGTTGACACTTATTATTATGGCTCAGTCCCATTGTCAACGACTCCATAGACTGATGCCATATCTTGGTTTGGCCCCCATAACATTCTTTCGACCTACTTTTACACCAACCAACATCGCTTGTCGAGGTGAACTGTGGTTGAACATACATAAAACGAAACAACTGTCTCAGATGACGAAAACCTACAAACTAACCGACATTTACCTTGTACCTTATGTAAACCCCGGTCATCGCCCTCTCGATGTTCCAAAAACACAAAAGCAATATGCTTCAAGGATATCGATGATTAACATTAGTAATCTATGTATATTTCCTATTCCTAACGGCCATGTTTCATATTCATAATGTAGGACGGAGAGAACTGCCACACATTAAACTCATTCTTCAGTTGATAAATGAATATTTCACTTATGCCACACATGTGAAAACAAGTTAATATATATATTCTAAATGGAAAATTAAACTGTAAAACAGTTGAACACATACACCCTAAACAAAAAGACAAGGTTGTTGAAATTAGTATTTCTATCTACTCGTTAAAAAAATAACAAGAAATATTTTGGAAGAAAAATGAAACACCTAAGTGAATTATTCACTTATTAACAAAGGATTAACAATGACTAAATGGGAATCTAAACGAACAAATTTAAATTACACCCTAATCATCATACATACTATGAAAATAGTTGAATGAAAGAAGCAAAAGTCATTGTATCAAATCGAAACAATGAAAGGTAGTGAAAAAAACAGAAATATTTGTAGAAAATGGAAAAAACGAGTATTCCGATTCTGTGTACCGGTAATGACTTCATACAACATAATAACTTGTTATACATTTATTTAATAGGTATTGAAAAAGACTAAAACTGTTTAATTATCGTAATCAAGATAGGGAGAACTTAATGAAAAATTTCAATTAATTAGATGAATATTGAGGTGTTTAATTAGTGGGTCACAACTCAGAATAAAAATGAACCTTCAAATCATACACACTCATAAACATACGAATCCGTGATAGTATTTAGTCACTGAAATGATATGAATAAATTGCCTAGATTCTTACTGTTGGATAAACAAATTAGTAGGGGTATACTAACGATTGCACTCAGTGACATATCTGCAGTTAAAGCATTTCCCTTCCAGCCACTTAGTCGAAATTTCGAGTCAAATTCCAGCTAAATTACTTTGTGTAGCTGATTAAAATCGCTAGCCATCACAGCTAGAGTGTACAAACTTATATTTCGTAAATGAGTTATTAATAATAATAATAATAATAAGGATGATCTGATACATTAAATCAAGATTGAGAATATATATTGATAAATGTGGATGGGATTTTGCGGAGACTCTGTATGATTCAAAAATTATTGTTATTAAGAACAGGAAATAGTTGAAAAACCACTGAAAATCATAGAGAAGTTGAATAGCCGACTAGTGTTGTTTGGAGATTACTCGCTACAAAATATATATCCAAGCTATCACGACCATTCAAAATCCAGTTTCCTTCCCACGTTACCTCAGAAGAAGTAACTTTCCTAACCATAATCGGTAAACAACAACCACCCTCATACCTCTAAAAATATTAGAAATCACATGATTTACCTTAATACATAAATACAATCAATACTGTTTTCTACAGACACAAATACATAATGTACAACCACTTAAAGTATTTCCATTATTACTATTAAACTAAATGAGACTTTTGAACGATTATTTATTTCTTATTTCTAGTATCCTGTTTACAATAACATAATATCAATTTAGATAATTATCATAATGTGAATATACTTATCTCTAGTTTAAATATAGGCAGAATAAGCTAAATATTAGTAATTGTAAGTCAATAAATTTTGCGTCAAAAATTTAAAGTAACCTTTCCTGATCGAAATCAAGTTATTTTTAATTTGAATCTCTTTTGATAAAATTCAAATACCTCTATACGCCAACAACTTTGTAATGCAATGAAAATTAATTAAGAATATTTTGAAGTTACTATCAGGTATTCAGTATGAATTATGTACTTAAAATGATTTTCCACTATAGATTTTGGGTTTTATTCATAATATGAATTGTTATTAAAATCATGAACTGATCTAAATCAAACCATCACTAAAAAGTTGAAGTACTGGAAACCGGTTCGTCGCAGTATGGGACTCTGCAGCAGTGGACACTCCAGACACCGCACGCGAGAATCTAACCCGAGACCTCCATTCTAGAATGCGAACAGTTAAACTCTAGACCACTGAGCCGGGTTCCGACAATGTTAATGTCTAACCTCATAATGGTTCATGATTTTAATAAAATTCAACAATCTTCACAACTCCATACGTAAAATATGAATTGCAATCCACTGAGATGGATTGAAGAGAGTTAACTTAAAATTTTTAAGAAAAAATATCATTGGAATCATCAGCTGGAATCCTGAAATGTGCAAACATTTTTTTAGGTCGGTAGTGCATAAACCTAAAACGTGAATGTAATAGACTCACTAACAGTTATATTTATGATTGATCACCAAATAGTGACCGGTTTCATGTTTATCTGATCCTTAGTGCTGATCAAATTCGTCAAATCACGATGCATGTGGTCACAAACGTACATGACTCAATGTTGCCCCCAAATGTGCTGGCACAGCTGAGAGTGAAGCGAGTTCGCTCACCTTCCAAATACTCTCTGGTATAGTTATGTGTAAACCA